ATTCTTCTTCGATATATTACAAAAAAGGAGTCAGCTTAGGCTGACGCGGGAGCCTATTCCCTGACAGGACTTGTTATCCTAATTTATTAGTAACGATAGGTTTTCCAAAATTAACCTTCAATTTCACAATTTGGTAACTGATTAGCTCAATGGATTAGATTTCGCTGCAATGTCACTGCCATTTTACATGCTCAACTTAATGCCCCTAAAACTTTTGCTGCCGGACGATACTCGATTTGCCTACGGATCGATACGTAGTATAAAGTTAGTAGTTATAGTCATCCAAAACATTACCGAACAAATGCTCTTTTATAACTGGTAAATTTTATGTACCTCCTCCTAGGATTGCGCCCCAAAAATAGGCGGCTCTAGGAAGCTAGCTCCCAAAACGCACTTGGTGATGGCCATCAGGTATCAACCTTTAGCTTTTATAATCTTCGGCCCCCACTTTTTACATTAGCACCACCAATACGCAGTCAACTAGTCTTCTACGTAGTCATATGGCACTTATTCGATCCATTATTTCTCACAAAACCGTACGTCAGCAGAGACTAGATTCTATCTATCGAATGTTAGAGAAAAATTAGATCGGGTAACAGTTTTCCATTACACTTGGCAACAGTTAGCTCTTAAGTTGGTAACTTTGTTGCAATAAGCATTGGTCAGCTGTGAAGATAATAATAGATTGCATTAATTAAATGCTTGCATATAAATGACATAAATTACTTTACTACACTACAATGATCGTAGCCAAGCTGAGAATCGAAATCCAGGTACATTAGTTCGATAACCAAGTACCAAATTATTAATCCACTTTAAATTTTTTTCCTTTTTGTTTTTAAAATAAAGGAGTTCGATGTCCGGTATCAATAATAGTTTCGTTAGCATGTTTTTTTTTTAGTACAACAGTCCATAATAAGACATCATGCTGTTTGTATTTACAAGGGGAAGGTAAATCTTAATTAATCAACTACACAATATGTAATAGACGTCACATAACATTAAGAATTATAGAGTTTTGAGATAGTCTTAAAATATATAATCTTTATGCTATAGAGCTAATTTTACCCATTAATTTACCACCATCAGATTACCTTCCGTTCTTTTTGGATGGATTAGTCTACAACCTTGCTCAAACGATTAGAATAAATTTAGAGGGGTAAAGTATGGCGATAGAATCAACTAGAATAAGCTAACCATAAGCGATCGAACAAAGACTTTAAAAACTGCAAATTATAAAACTAATGATATTTTTATGTGATACAACCCATTGTAATTTTTCAGTTTCCGGTAATGAGAAAGAAAACTTAATTTCGGGACGTACAGTAACAGTTAACGAATGCTACACAATGTTTAATATGAATCACGATGGTAACAAATATAAAAGAGTCTTTCGTCTCTGGGCTTTGATAAAGACTAATCCAACCTGGTGGTATAAATTTAAAATCCACCATCTAATAAATAGTATTGTATTGCCTACTACCATTCTATTAATCAATATGCAAATATTTAAACAACAACGCAAAACTGAACCAACATCAATTCATAGATGTCGTGTTCTGACCATGATCTTTATTATTGCCTTGTTATGCGTATATGCAGCTATCCTTATATTTAACGTTGTTCATGATACCCCAATCGTAACCACAAAAGTGCAAACAACAAAAAGTCTGCCACTTCCGACGTTAAGTTTTACTTATGCATACAACTTTAATATATCTTGTTTTTTTCTTTATAGTAAGTATCTAAAATGTACACGCACATTTAAATTTGTTACTAAAACAAACGTGTTAACATTTTATCAAACACGTAATTAAGATTTGACTATTGATGAAGCGTGCACCAAGTACGTCCAACAGCCAACGTTCATGATTAATGCCTACGCCGGCTTATTTAAACCACCACTTTATTTACAAATGGTACCGGCAACAAATACAAAAGGACTGACGACAATGACGTTTATTATGACCGTTACTGACACGAGATTTAAACCTAATGATACTGATATCTCTCAGATGGTATTCTCGTTAACTGACACAGGTAACAATTATTATACTCTTTGTCTTTGGTTAATTAATCAGTTATTCGTTACCTCACATACGCGTTAAACCATTTGCCATCAAACAAGAAACCGCGATGGAAGCTGACAGACGAATTATCGACACTAACGAAATCGATAATATTGATCCAAACTTTAGCTTTTCTTTGATCGACCAATCAATGTATTTAATGTTTTATCACCAAAGAAATCTCGTTGATTACGCTCGAAATACGAAGAAGATAATTAGACCTAGTTTATTTACTGACTTTGGTTTTTCACCAAGCACCATCTCTGTATCTTATTTGACTTCGAGATTGAGTGAGTAACACATGAGTTTTTAGACGTGCGAGGTTTTTTCTATAATATCCAATATGATTGTTAATTATAGGTAGTGGTCCTATGCGTCTAGATGACGCGATGATAAACCCTAATGTATATGGTTCAATCGATATAAGGCCTAGCAGTTTCCTTGTCAGAACAGAAACGGAGCAACGGTAAACAATTGATAAAAATAGTCCATGTTATAATTATTATTTCTATGCTAACAGTGCTGCTGCGACTACATAATAATATTATTTGCTTATTGTAATTGCCAGATCCCGCACAGTAATATTCGATACTTATATTGTTGGTAAACTTTTACTTTTTATGTGTTTAACTTTTCACATTTAACCTTTTATTAATAGATTTTCAACGCGCTTGGTCTACTTGGTGGCGCGTGGACGGGGTCTCTAACAGTGTATGCTATTCTATTTGGTATGTGTTGATACATATTTATGGAATTTGTACTTATATGCTCAAATTAATATATTTTAATCTATCTATTCTTATTATCTTTGTAGGTAATAACATCTTAAAGCCATGGGGTTGCATCCACTCATACTGTTGTTGTTATGCTCGAAAGACTCGTTTGTTGCTTCGTAAATCATTCCCAACAATACCATTGAAATCTTCCAAATCATTGATTAGTTTATTGTCACCGGACTCGTCGGCTTCAACGAATGATTTATTACTCCAGCAACCCGCATTAAGTCAACACCTAGACTCATTGGAATTGTTTCTCAAAGAATATGTGGTTGATTCAACATACTTAGAAGATTCGAACAGTAATGATGACTCGAACAAACTTAGTAAACTATTGGGAAAGTTGTACTGGAGAAGCAATAGTAATAGTAAAGTCGATGCCATCTCACCACAAATCTCTCCTAGCGACAGTTCAAATACAGTGTAAGAAGTTTCCGGTTAGTAGTAAGTATTCCTTACTTAATAATAATAGCACTTTTCTGTAAAAAATTTTAATAATTGATCAGTAAAGTTTTCTATTATTAGCAAAACATACTAATAGTGTTTAAACAAGTCAGCACTGGTAGTGAATTTGCTTTAATGTTGTCTACAGCTTTTTGCCTGATAAGTGCAACGAAAACACAGTACGAACGTCATCAAAGCAGGTTACACACTACGATGCAAGTAGAGCAAAAATCATACAATCCCTTACATACTTCGAAAAAATGGCATGTAAATTAAAACAAAAATTTATTGCTCCATAAAACAACTAGAATGCTGTTTTATTTATCTATTTTTAAAGAAATAATTATATTAATGGTTCAGTTTTTTTTAAAACCAAATTTAAACAACGCCACCATAAAAAAAACAATAATAACAAAATGATCGGAACAAACAACGATTTCGCCCACGTTGGCTCAAATATATGTACACTAACCAAATATAAAGATTGCCAATTATTATGAGCCCGACGAAGCCGGGTAGGTAATGAGATGTCAATCATACAATACACAACGCCATTACAACACAACATAACACATATGGTTTAACCATAAAATAACCTATTCACCCGCATTTCTAAACTTATTTGGATAATCTTCATTTTAGTCAACGATAAAAAGATTCTGCACGTTGGAATGGGGATAAACAGCACCAGCTAATTTGACAATCATGACTTTGTGTGAAATCCTGACCCGTAAATGGATACTAACTTGTCAAGCGCGGCTGCCTATACATCTAGTTGTTGCAGCAAAAAGTAAACCAATACTAAGTTGTTGTCATTTACGCAACCCAGAACTTTTTTTTACTTATCAGCATATGTGTATACATGAAGAAAACTGAGTGATACTAAAATTAACGTCGTATCGATTGCTTTTAATGTCAATGTTAAACAGCTTTGCTTTAATCAAATTTGGTGTACTTATTCAATTATAAAATTATAATCAATAAATTCTTTATCTAATCGGCACAATAGATTATGGACTACGGGTACTTGGCTTTTAAAATTATTGTCACAAGAAGCAGTCACCAGGTGCGTACGCTATTCATGACCTAGAACGAAATTGATTGTTTTGTCAATCTATTCTAATCGTAGTAACGTGCAAAGTCCGGATCAGTGAACAATGTGTTTTGATTAGCTGCACTAAAGTCGCACATGCAAGCTAACTGCATACTCTTGAAATTCACAGTCTTTGTTACGTGTTTATATTTATTGCGCTGCGCTGCAAAGAAAGTTCCTATATAGATTGTCTTAATATTAACGTAATTAACGTTCAACTTAATAGTATATATTCCTTTTGTACTACAAAATTAAGTTCAATAATATTTTTCTTGTCCTATTTTCTTGACAACTATGGAAGTCGATAGTATGGTGATAAGCCAAAAAGAGTAGTCGCATTCGCAGTCGCACGGAAATGTGGTCGATGAAAACGAATGGTTAGCGTTTTTTTCCGTATGGTGATGGTGACGGAGGTACCCAGTTAGGAGAACACAGTGAGCGAATGGTTTCTGGTTCAGTTTCTGGTTCAGTTTTACGTTGTTTAATACGTAATATTTTCCGTAGTCTACTGCATAGTATTTGTATATTCGTCAATACAAAGTGTAATGTCGTTGAAGAATGATATTATAAAGGCTTATCTCTTGTCCAGCTTTTTTATATTGGCTTATTATAACAGTTAATTTAGCACAACTGATTATTGGTATAACTTTATCATCAGCAATGCCAGGTATAACCAGTGCGGAAATTTGATTTTATTGGTCTCTTTGATATTATCGTAACACATAGTTCAGATCAGTACAATTTCAGGAAAAATGTACATTAATTAACTGCACTAGTGTTTTTTACACACATCCGACTATGGTTAATTCTTCTAGATAAGAAACGCATGAAAACAATCACTGTCTCAATCATATGTTTATATTTTGTCATTAGTCACACCGCAAAAAAGAAGAGCTACCCAAAAAAGTCTTAATAACAAGTATTAAGTTAAATCTTTTAATCAACGAACGACGAATAACAAAACTTGCTACTGAGAAGTTGTACATGTAATGTAACATTAAACTTTCAGCCTTGCAGAATAAAATCTTGTTTTGATTATATGTTTTTTTTTTTTGCTAACAACCAGCGACGTTATTCAACTGACATAACCACCACAGGTAAAAATGATAGGCAAGTAGCATGCCCACCTAGAGTAGCAAAATAAAAGTAGTCCAATTGTATACAGAAAACGAATATTAAATAAGGAAAATTTTAAGCCAAATTGTTAGGCTGCGGTGGCGCATCAGTTGCACGGTCCGCATTTTTTGGCTTACGGAAGTAAACAATATGACTAATCCATGATTTCAAGCGATTAAAACCAAATACTGCAAAACAAAGATATGACTACAAAAATAGTTAATTATTGTAAGGAAATAATATATAAAGGCCGCAAGTGTCGTTGCAGTATTATTTTTTAATATTGCATTCACCATTACATTACTATTCAACAATCATGATACAGATATTTAAAAAACTATTACAGATATTTAAAAAAATATCACAGATATTTGAAAAAATATTTGAAGAGATGTTTGGAAAAAGACGCAAAACCGAGCCAAGATCAATTTTTAGATGCCGCCTTTTTATTATGGTTATCATTCTTTTCTTGTTACTTGCGTACGCAGGCCTTCTTATATATGACATCGTTACAGATACCCCAGTCATAAGCACCAAATTGGAAACGACAACAAATATGACACTTCCAACGATGTTTATTAGTTTCCAATATAATCACACTATAACCTGTGTTTTCAAGTATAAATGTAAGTGTGTGCTAATTGTGTATTTTGTTTTAAAATCTGTGTTGTTGCTAGATTATTATTTAAATCGCTTTTTTAACACTGCTTTACAATTGTAACTGATCGAGTTTATTGTCATATACATCACAAACTGTTAAGTTATTAACTTTTTTACACTAAACCTGTTTTGCTAAAGTGAATGCATCGACAACGGAAGAGTGCTCCAAGTACATCACACAGCCAAAACCAGCAGACTATGGTACTTACGTGGGTTACTTTGCGCCTCCGTTTAGTTTAAAAGTAATACCACCTGAAAACTCAGAGGAAGGGATTCGGGGAGTATTGTTTTCAATGGCTATTACTGATGCGAGACCGATTGATACTACTATTCATCGAATGGTGCTTCTTCTTCTTGACACTGGTAATAGTTTTGCTGCATTGGTTCCGATTATTTTCTTCCCCCAATACCCATCCAAATACATACTAAAAAAAACGCTTATGCTTTTTTTTTATGAAATAAGAAACCTATGTAAAAGCAGACAACAAGTCCATTGACGCAGCCAGAAAAATTGATCCAACTTTTGTCAACTCTGTGATGACACAAACGGACTATATAATTTTTTATCGCCAATCCAATTACTTGACTTACACTCGAAGTGTGAGGGGGATTATTAAACCCAATATACTCGCCGACTTTGGTTTTTCGCAAACAATTTATATATCTTATTTGAATACAGCATTGAGTAAGTATATTGATAAGATAAGAACTTTAACACATTGCATTTTCTATGATGCTAATATTAGATAATTACAGCGAGCGGTCCATTGGCTGAAAATTATAATATAATAAAACCAAATATATACGGAACAGTAGATATAAAGCCTAGCAGTTTCCTTGTCAGAACAGACACGGAGAGGCGGTAAGCAGTTAATCAAAATTGTCAATATTATAATAAGTACTATACTAATTATCACAATTATATTTGAAAAATAGATCAAATACGGTAAAATTACTACTTTTGATTATCCATAAGTGTTTTATTTGTGCTTATTAGTGATGACTTGTGTAAATTAATACATTAATTAATATCAAACAGGTGCTCGGCTCATTGGGTTTACTTGGTGGTGCATGGAGCCTTGCCCTCATAGCGTACGCTACTCTATTTGGTAATGTTCTGATGCGTGTTATTTACGAAATTTTACTGTCATTTATAATATATTCCTTTGCATATTAATGTATTTAATTTACACTTTATTTAGGCAGTAAATCTCTAACTCCGTGGGGTTTAATCCATTCATACTGTTGCTGCTTTGTTCGATCAACTCGTTCACGATTTCGTGAATCATTCTCCACAATACCACTACAATCTTCCAGTTCATCGACATCGGATTTATCTATTTTATCGAGCGATTTGTCTTATAATGACAATGCGTTGCAACAACGATTAGACGCTCTGGAATTGTTTCTCAAGGAATATGTGGTCGATCAAACATATTTGGAAGACTTAAACGCTAACAAATATTCGAGCAAAATTAGCGAGTTTTTGGGAAACTGGACTTGGAAAAGCCGAAAAAGAAATGACTCTAGTACAAGCGACGCTACTTTACCACAAGTTTCTTCTACGGAAAATGACTCTAGTACAATTGACACTACTCAACCACAAGTATCGTCTACAGACAGTCCAAATATTCGAGACATCTCCAACTACCAATTACCTATTCCCAACTTGCATAACGATAATACTTTGTTGTAGAAATCAATGAATACTTATGTACTGGATAAATTGGTTGGTTATTGTGTGTACGTAAGGAGTATTATTTGGTGTATTTATAAATATATAATGTTGTATCAGAAGCAGTTTTCGCGTTTTTATCAATGTAACGGCAAATAATTACTTGTGTTGTACAGTTAATTTAGTATAAGGTGTACTGGCATTTTTTCATTTAGTGGCAATTTTGTTAATGTAAATTTAAGCTATCGTCTTATATGTTATCAACGCATTACTATAATAATAAAATTTATAATAAAGCGCAAAATATTTTTCCTTATAGTTCAAGGCAACGGAAGTGCTCCATCGTTAATAATGTCAAAAGACAAATTACCTGTTTAATTAAGCAGCAAACACACCAACTTGTGATATCGACATTACATGTTGAAGCAAATAAAAGAGCCAATACGAAAAAATAGCCATCATAAGACAAGTTTTTGATTGTATTAATGAAATGGCATTGGTGTGAGCATATTTAGAGTAAACATTGCCACTTGCGCGCTCGCATTAAACAAAAACACATTGCATAAATCTAGATATCGGCAAGACGAGAGTTGGGCAATCTTGCAGCCATTAATTCACAAAAGCGTATAGATGTAAATTAGCTGATATATTTATGTCTTGTAACAAATATAGTGAACGTTGGATGTTCAGTTTATCGCTCATGAATCTAAATGCATTATTCGTTCTTTCCATCCATCTAAATGCTCTAATATGGATATCTCGGTTACTTATCTAAGCGAATTGCCGGATAATCTTAATAATTTGTTTATTCCCCGAACGTTGCTTTGCACAGCTATAGGTAATTGCGGCGTTCTTGTTCAAAAATAGCAGTTTGGCATAATAACAAATTATGAAAAGCTGTTATAGATTTCTACACTCTCGTTGATAGATTATCTATAATTCTGGTTAATCGCTAGTTTTAGTGTTGTATCGAACAACTCTACAGCAAATGTAAAAAGTAATGAGAGCGGTCGTTCAGAGCAGAAAAACTTTATCTGTTGGAGAATTAACATGCATTACGTTTCTTGGATAGACAGCTAGTACTGTAAAAGATCACTTTTATATCGTATAAAGTTCTGGAGACTCTCGATAGGTGCTCTTGGCCGTTGTAGATAGGTGTTACTCAGCAAGTGAGATGAAAGATGTAAGTGCAACTCTGCTGCTTTTGTTATGCTTTATTCCGTTGCCATCTTCACGATATGCGGACGTCAGTCAGTAACACACGTAAGCAACTGTATTCTCATTAGACAATCTCTCGCTAATTATAGTTTGTCCTATAATTTTGTAATCAGATCTGGTGACCAGAGCAAGCCACATGTAACACAGTAAACTCACAAATAGCCGCAAGAAAAAAACAAACGTGGGGTGTGCCTACTTACTGTCTATAATCCTATTAAGCGAGGAAGCCTTGTTGGGGTTTCTGGATTATTTGATTCCACTGTTGCTGTAATAGTTATTTTATCTAATCGCAAATCTCTCACTTACCAGCCAGTTTCATGGATTATATACACTAATATTAAGGGTTTCACGCTTTGACTTGTGAAACAATCTGACTTACAATACTATCTACCAGCATTGTCAAACTTTATCGTGAATTAATAATTTTCATGAAAACAAGCTTGAACAGTGTTACCTTTAAAAAGTTACCCCTGTCGCACAAAGGTAGCATCCAAGGTATCCATGTCCGGGTGTCAGGTAGCAAACAATAGCCCTTTTTTTTCGAAGGTTATTGTAAAGCAAAGTGTGCAAGCTACTTACTCTTTTGCAATAAATATGCGCGCTTAACATCTGCCTCTTACAAAGGTTGGATGTATGGATGTTTGTATATGTTATAAATCTCCAGTCTAATATGTCAACCTATTGACAGATGTATATAAGTGGAATTACATTGATAATATCTGACATTTTCATGTAACAAGGAAGAAACTCCGAATAATGACTGTTCTATTAATATTTATGTAAATATCTTGAAGGTGATTCGACCAAATTTTTGTGCATCACGGCAATCACGGCAGTCATACGATTAAATATGACGGAAAGTGTGGTATCGTATCGATTGTTCTCTTTCCTCAACGCTATATATAGACACAGTAATTGCCCAAGTTTTTAACTAACAGTACGTTATAACGATAAAGGAAGCTTAAATTTGAGATGCATCTAAAAATAGTGGAGGTCCCCACCACCGATCGACTATATCATATGGTTATGTTTCTTGTAACACAACCATTAATCTTTTACCTTTATTGGAACATGAATAGCTTCTTATCGAGGACTTGCGTCACCTGTTTATTTTGGTATCGATCACTCATTGATCTTACAAAATCGCGACATCTTGTGCGTTGTTTAAAACGCTCCAAGGAGGTGGCGTTTGCATGAATCATTTGAATTGCACAAAAGTGATACTACGATTCATTCATTCATAAATGCCTTGTATTGCACGTTATTATTGTTCCACCTTGATTCGTTTCGTGATACAAATGAGAACAAGGAGTTTTTTTTTTTACAGTGCTAAACGTCTAATTACTGATTGAGCATATATTGTATAGTATACTTTATGTGGAGTGTAATAACAATTCTAAATTCTTTGTGCTTGTATTGGAAATGCGGTATTAAAAATTTCTTATGTTTGTAAACGATTGTCACTAAGTTTTGGGCATATTATCGTTATTGTCTATACATAAAAACATTTGTATTTAAACATGCTCTGTGGAAAACGGGTCAAAGTTTATCACGAAGAAAAGCCGTATATTAATATGTTGTTATTGCAGACAGATGCGCGGATGCGGCAAAGACAATATTGATTTGAGTCAAAGTGCGTTTAAGGAGTTAGATAATCTCAATAAGGGAAAAATAGCGGTTACTTGGAAAATTTTGGACATTAATTATGATGTGTAGGTATTAGTATAACTACTGTTTATAACCTATTATTCGAATTGTTTCATGGTTTTAGTCGGATAGCTTATGTTTAAACGACTCGAGAATAATGTATTTAATTCTCGCAATTAGTTTTGTTAAAACCAGTTGCTGTCCTGTTAGCTTGAATATTCTTTTATATTTTTGATATTTATCTGCTTTTCAACAATATAACCGTTATGACAAGCAATGTACATTCGTTGACTTGATGCACAGCGAAGGTCCGGTAAGCAGTACAACAGGCATAAGATATCGAAAGTTAGTGCAGAATTACAAGTTTAAAAATTTCAAGCTTTAATCTCAACTACCAAAACAAAAGTTTCGGGAAAGCGGGGAAGTGCTAGTCATATGTAAATTCGAAGGTAAACCAAACATCCGTAGTAAGAATATCTGGATGGTCATCACATAACTATTGGAATAATAAGTCAATAATCAATAAACATGGTGCGTAATTGAACAGTTACCTTGTCATAATATGAATCATCCATCTCATCCGTTATTTCGAGCAGAGTTGATTTAATAGTTGCAGGATTAGTAGTAGGCAGTCCAGGCAAGCATCTCCTTAATCATCAATACAATCAAATGGAATCCATTCCAAATAAGCATCATTTGGTGAATTTGAGATTTCTTAATAAACTCATCGAGCTGCTTATTGTTGCTAGTCCATCCATTGGATGATCATAATGCACCACATCGGAGTATTAACTAAAATGTTCCCTGTAACATGACTTTTGTGTTTTCAATTGAATTATTCTCAAAAATTAACATTCTGGGCGTAAAATGGTACCTGGTCGACATGACTTTGATTGGCGGTCCAACGAAACACACGGTATTATTAGAATTATATAGTTAATCTCGTACAACAGTAAGAGATTGTACTATAGAACACACACATATATTTGTGTTGTATCACGACGTACTTTACAAATATTTTTAACCGTGTAACATGATTTCCCATGGAAGGTTCTCGCCAAACTAGCTATAACAGGTTACCGTATCTTGGACAAATATCCGCCAAGCTTAAAATAGATTCAAATCTATAATAATCGTATTCTATGCTTATGCCCTATTATTCTAAGATGTAAATAATGTTTTTACATTCAGCTCGTCATTTGTATATAAACCCCTTTGGTGTGTGTGCAAAATAAACTTGACAGTATATGGTTAATTCCCCTATTTTATTTATATTGCTCACGATCAGATACTTTAACTAGTCAATATGCAGTTGGATGAAATGTATCGTAGACATCGAAAGACCGAATCGAAAGCAATTCTTATGTGTCGTAGATTTATTATGTTCATAATTATTGCTCTATTGGCCGGATATACGATTCTCCTTATAATTAATATACTCAATGACATTCCGATACTGAAAACACAGTCAAGAACGGAGAGCAGTCTTAGACTTCCAACAGTAAAAATAGAGTTTGACTACAAATTCTTCATTTTCTGTGCGCTGGGCTATCAAAGTAAGTCGACTGAACATACTCGTGTTTGTTTTGTCTTTAGATGCTGAATGACTAATTTATCAATCATTAGATGGAACAACCTCACCAATTAAAGATTGTATCAATTATGTCTCAACGCCTACCGTTGACCCAATTACTAAAAAGTACACGGCGTGGGTCAATCCTCCACCTGATTTAAAAGTAGTGGGTCCAGTCGATCCAAATGGGCTAGGTTCACTCGGGATATCTTATGGCGTACTTGATCCAGCATACAATAGCAGCAGCCCCATCATGAGTGTTTTTGAAGCATACATACGTAATTATTATGAGCTTAATTGGGAAGGATATCAGTATTGTAAAGCCGCATAATTAATGAGTTTTATGTTGTGTATTTAAGTGTTTCTGGTGCATGCCGGGTGACTAGAAATCTAATTTTTTTTTTCTACTAGAATATACGGATAATTCATATACTCAACTCCTCAGGACAGTCAGAAAGAGCGAACCAGAATTCTTCAATTCTCTATTGACGTCGGCAGTACATAACCTATTTGATAGGCAAATATACGTGGTGTCATACACTCAAAGTGAGAGACAAATACTGAAAAAAAATTTGCTGTCTGCTTTTGGCATTTCGACCGGCACTCTTCATGTACCTTACATCACTACCGAGTTCGGTGAGTGACATTAGTCAGGCGACTGTGAAGCGTATACATGGCTAGATCAACCTTTCATACTCATCTTGCTATATAGAGAATGGACCATTGCCTGCTGGTGTTGTTGGAAATGGAATTATAATGATTAAACCTCAGACCTTTGTTGTTAATGTTGAGATCGAGCAAAGGTAGGTAAAAAGATAGATTGATTGGGTCATATTGTTGGTCAGCTGGTGATTATTAGACTAATGAGTGATATTATACTCGGATGTTGATGATTCATTTAAAGGTCAAACACGGTAAGATTAAGTTTGATGATGGAATTGGCAAAGAACAAATCATCAAGCAAAATCTAATGTTTAAATCAATGTCATATTATGATTACCGTTTATGCAGGTTCTCGGTGCATTTGGTTTACTTGGTGGTATATGGAGCATAGCTGTGGGAGTGTATGCCTTTCTATTAGGTAATTCCTGACGAGTACGTCATGCTCATTATATTCTTTTCTTGCTTGTTTATCCACACGCTCTTAATTTCATTTTCCCCTCACCAGGAGGAGACGCAATAAATCCATGGGGTTGTGTCCAGACTTATTGCTGCTGTTTCATTCGATCAACACGTTCAAAGCTACATGAATCATTCAAACCAGTCGTTCCGTTTCAATTCTCTAAAGAATCCTCTGAAGAATCGCCAGATTCATCATCCCAATCAGAAAATACAACAGAATCAACAGAATTAACAGAATTGCAAAACCGATTAAACGCATTGGAACAGTTTATGCAAGACTATGTAGTCGATATAGCATATTTAGATGGGTTGAAAGAGAATGAATGTCCAGGTAAAATAAGCGGTTGGCTGTCACGTTTAAACTTGAAGAAAATGGGCAGACTAAATAGAGCGTCTGGCGGTGGGAACGGAAATGAAGCCAACGGATTTAGCACAGAAACAACGCCGGAAATAATCCAAACCGTACCTGAAGATTCGGGATCTTCACATTCAGATTCTGATTCTTCTTCCCGACCCAACGCATACGTGTCTGACTTACCGGAGATGCAGGCTTTTCAGGTCGAATCACAACCAGCTCAACAAGGATATGATCAATATTCGGCTCAACCAATGTCTGATTCCGATCAAAGTCATACAATGGTGAGTGTGGCAGATGATAATGACCTTCGACCAACGCCGTCTGTTTATACGGCACCGCAGTTATATGATGATCAAGAAAGATAATAAAGCAAGCAACGATTAATGTAAAGAGAGGGAGATAACTAATGAATGTGTTTAATGTATTATATATTATTAAATTGTATACATACGTATTTAACATGCAGAAAAATTACCTAGTTTTTTGTATTAATATCAGATTATCTTTATCAAACGCAAGGAGGAAGTAGTTCTCTGCCTTCTCTTTCAGAAAAAGAAATACTAAGAGTGGGATGGTTTGTTTCTGATCGCAAATAAATATTGATGTAATAAACGCATTTTCGAAGACATTACACAAACAGCTGGCAGGTTAATAACTCGATATTACGTGTATAAGGTTAATTGAAAGT